AAAAACACTCGATGAAATTTAAAGTATTATTTTTCAATTTTCATTACTGGATAGATGTTTGCATTGAAATGAAATTAGAAGATCGAAATTTGGCCATGATCATTTTGCGAAAATAGTAGATTATGTCAGAAAGTTTGCAACCGAGGTTAAAACAAAGTTCATTATCATGTTTATTTTTGTAATCATAGGTTGGACACGTTTACATCAGTCGAATAAGTAATTCATTTTATCATATTCTTAATAATCTTATCTGTTAATTAAAAACTTGTAAAATCGTTTTATCAGATTGTATACACAAAAAAAATAACTTAATCAATATTATATTAAAAATCAATAATTATCCATTAAAATTAATAGGACGTAATCGTTGTGTTATATTATCACACAATCTGGTAGACATAATATAAACTACCAGTATAAAATAGAACTTCACATATCTGGTGGTAATCTAAGAAACTATCCGCTTTCTGCTGGCCACATAACGAACAACTTTTACACGTCTATGATATCACGAGTCTATGATGTCCTCTAAGAACTTTTATTCCAACCTTTGACGACTTCCCACTTGGTCGGAGTTTAATCACCTTTACTACTTATGATACACCATCACTAGGATCTTGAACAAATAATTTTATAATTAAAAGTGCATTATAAATAAAGTTTTGTACAAAATTAACAAGCTGTAACACCATCTCTTAATCGACGACTTTAACTCGAATACCTAATTATTATGACTGTCTGAGAAGTTCTTAAATATTTGTTAGCTAACTACATATCAATACACATTATTCACTGATTTGTTAATATCAATCATTAATTCACAATATTTGACTCAAGGTGCTTAAAATCATAAAAAGTAACTGCCCAATGCTATTATGAAAACTTGCAAATCCTACCTGCAAATTTTGTTATCAAATATTTCTAGCTTGTTTGCTTGCTTATTAATTCAGTGTTTCGATAAACATAGGATGGTTATATTTATAACCAGGTTCTACATACAATGGGATTACAACTGTAATTTTTATTGTTTATCTATTATTGCCTGGTAATTCCTGTTTTATTCTGTATTAAAGCTTTTTACAGGATCACGAAATTTTGTAACAAAGCTAAGTTCACGGGGTAATGATAACATAATTTGCACTAGAATTATGATTTTTTTAAAATTACTACTAGTTAATAATACTAAAAATAGCGGATACTCCGTTTGAAACTATGTCATCTCAGTGAATGTGGTTGACAACATTGTTTTGGTTTTGGAGTTATCATCTAATAAAAAAGAAGAACAAGAAATTCAAACTTTTTGCTATGATATTTACAGACATTCTCGGAAGTTGTGATTCAGGCATTACATAGATATTGTTATAAAAGGAAACACTGTATAGTATTATAAAGTCTTATGACCAATTCAGAAGATATTTAAACTACCATTTCGAAGAACAATTCGAGCCATCCCTAATAGGCAGTACTACCGCTTTCCTGATATGGCAAAAGTTTTAGTATTCTTATCTAATTTATTGTAAATTATATTCGTATACAAATATCAACTAAAATATTCACTTGGTCTAGTTTGTATAAAATGGTAGGAAATATTATAATAACTTAGGAATGTATATTTTATTTTCAAAATTCTCAAGGTGTGGTATGAATGAAAGAGAAATTTTAAGGGTTTCTACTCTTTTATGAAGCTATTTTTTTACGTGTAGTAGGGATACGCGTTTTGTAAATTTACGGTATGTGCCTTTAAGCTGACATAACGATAACAACCAACATAGTTTGAATAAAAAAAAAGATGTTTGAGTGTTCTAATGTTACCAAAAAACGTTTGTGATATAAGACAGTAATTAATGCTCTGTCTTTTCAGTAAAGCCAATTTACTTTGTGTTTACTAGAGTACAGAAGTATAAAATATGATCCTAAACGTTTATTTTCAAAGTTTTGAAACCTTAATTACATTGGACAACAACAACAAAAATTGCTACTGGAAAAAACTCAAGTGTCTTAGGGTAATTTGATGGTGCTGATTTCAAAAACCAACTACCCGCCCCTCAGCCCCAAGCCACTTTCTACATCATCGTCGTCATTTTCATCGAACGCCTTAGTAATTGACACCTCTCCCGATCTATACCTACCCGACGAACCTTTCTGTGCCTTCCACCTACTCAACCCCCAGCACCGGACGTCACTTTGCCTTCCCTACTTACTTCTTCTCGCTAACCGGGCACTGGTAACGGATTAATGGATTAATCGTTACCAGTAAAAGTGGGTTTTCTCGGGGCACTCCAGTTTCCTCCCACATTAAATTCTTGGCATAAGATTTTAGATCCCCGCCGCCCTGATGGACCATCTGTCCGATATCGGCCGTTTAGTTTAATTTACTTCACTTTTTTTTATTGTTTACCGTTACTCTCATGTTTACCTTTTTAAATTTTACATACTTTGTCTGCATCAATTTCCTG